AGGTTAGATTCACCAGCAGACATCCTTGTGGTCAGGGACCTTTGAGGTCCTATCGGAAATTTAGGACAGGCTCTGTTGGAAGCCTGCCTGCCTTGGAGTCCAGAAGAATTTTGCCAAATCTGCAGCATTTTGAAGGAGACATTTCAAGTAAAGTGAACTAGCATTTTCCAATAAAAATTTGGTGGTTTTTTTAGAAAATGTACAGTGAGATCTACCCAAAAGTCTTTCATATGTTTCTACACAGCTTGAGCTCTGGCTATTTTTTTTGTTTACCAGGAGCCACACCCTGACTGTAATGTTGTACAGCATACAGAGACATCTAGTGGCTAAATCATGTATTGCAAGTAAACATTATTTAAGGTCTTGGCACTTGTCTTCTTTGCAATTTGAGATGCAGTGACACTGCACTCAAGCTGTAAAATGTTGGGGCAGGCCCACTGCATTGTAAGATAGTGTTAGCAATGTTCAAATAGAGCCTCAACCCCTAGAACCTGGTGGCATGTTCAGCATAGCTGAAAACTCTAACTAGAGATTTTTGTGTTAGTGGCAGTCAAGTTATGGGAAGTTCTCCAGTTATATGCTGAAATAAACTATAATGAAAATAGGCTCTTGGCAATATAATTGAGACAGAATCTTTCTCTTCTATTTTTTACCTCTAGTTTATTATATTGGTCTGATTTTCCTAATTACTTTGGACCCTATTTTAAAAGAGGTCAGGAACACAATTATATCTGCAAAATATGCACATAAATCTGCATAATTACAACAAATGCACATACAAAGTGGGTATTTGTACCTGTAAGCAGTTTATTTTGCCTCATTTGAATAGGGAAGTAGCTGCAAGGTATGCAAGGTATTTTTTTTTTCTGTTTGTGTTATGTATCTTAGATGTATCAGTGCTGTAGAAAAACAAAATGTGAAAACAAGGGTGACAAAGTGTTCACTGACTTTTGACAAATTGTCCATTAAAAAACATAAACATGCCATTAGACATGTAATTTGCAAATGTAATATAATAGTTTTCCATACAATTTATGTTTGGGACATGCAGAAGTTCGCTTGCAAATCTATTTGCATGTACCAGTTACCTTATTTGCTTAGGTAGTGAGAACAGTTATATGAATATACTAGGCACATAACATTTACCTTTGTTTTGAACATATAAAAGACCTTTGAGAATCAGACCCTTCACATTACAAAACTTTCAGTTACTGAATTTTCTGTGGTCTCCCCTAAACAATCTGAAATGTTCCCTCTCAGTTCCCACTGTCAAAGTGCATGAGCCACATGTCCTACAGAATGGATTTTATTATCTATATATATTTTAACATTATTCCTTTTCTATTAAAGGAAAATAAAATTTTGGAAACATTTAAACTGGAAAAAATAAAGAGTATCCAAATTCTCAGTTTCACATGCAAATTAATTAAAAGTAACTTGAATATTCCTTTAAAAGTTTGTTAAAATTGGCAGTGGAGAATCACTTTTGATACATGTGCATGTGTATGACTTTTTCAAACTATGGAGAATTTCAAATCGTCAGAACTTCTTGCCAAACAGAATTGCCATAAAATTTAAGAGAGAAGTTGGTAAGAACATACTTGAAGGAAGACGCTTGCTTGTTTTGAACAACCCAGACAACAATGACAACAATAATAAAAGAGTAACAAAAAAAAAATCTTTAAATTCTCCCAACTAGATGAAATTCAGCTGAACTGAAAGTACAATAGCAAATGGATCAAATCATCTTAAAAAGTTACTTATTAAAATTACAGCTCATTCTCTTTCAGATATTGTGTGTGCCTTTGTAATTCAGGAAGCAGGTGGCAGGTGAAGAAACACACTCAGAAATACATGCCTTCCCCTATTTAGAATTTTCTGGCCCTGCATTCAATAAGTTTGTGGTTGTAGCAACTCTAATAGTATATGCGTTTTAAAACTGCCTTATTATGCAATATATATTCATTCTATTTCTGGTTTTATATGAGCAGAGAGAGATGGTTTGACATGTTAGGTTGAAGTCAGGTAGAAGGCAGGGTAAATATGTACCTTAAAGATTACTTAAATTCTTATATAATAAAGGGCTAGTCCATCTGTCTGTCTGTCCGTAATGCTCTTGGAGCACTCTGATTAGTTAGTGAAGCAACCAATCAGAGTGCAGAGCACCGCCATAACAGCAGGAACTGAGGGACGGAGCGGCTGGCCTCATCCCCCCACTCCATCCCTGCCATCATGGTGGTGCTCTACCACCTCCAAGGAGCAGGGCCGAGGGAGAGGGGGGCGAGGCCAGCAGTGCAGAGTGCTGGCAGAGGGGGACAGCAGGGCAAGCTTCCCTCCCCCACCCCGCTCCAGGGAGGCAGTGGTGGATGGTGGCACTCTGTCCCTGCCCCCCTGTCATTCTTGACGGGCAATTCGCAAGTACAGCATAAGCTTTCGCAAATCATAGATCTCAGAATAGACCACTTATAACTCACTTCTTCTTACTTAAGGTATTTTTCAAATTTACAGGGAAATAAAAAAAAAATCTAAAGGTAAAGCCCAAGACCTACATTAAAAAGGAAGGATTGTCGAGAGCTAAGAACTGAATCTAGAAGTGCTCCATGAATGTTTTACAAAGCTGTAATGTAGAGCACCTTTTATAACAATATAAAGTTGCAGCACTCTTAAACATGACAGAAGTGCAGTGCTCCATGGGAAACCTCTGAGCCTCCCTGCACTTTCCAAGCTAGGAGGCAGGAGGCAAACCTCAGCCTCCTGGGTTGGGTTGCCAACTCTAACTGAAGCTATTCTGGGAGATTTTTTTCCCCAACATGATGTAATATAATATCCTATTAATATCCTATTAAAATCTTCCAGATTGCTTTCAATAGTGACCAGGAGATCAATGCCGATTCTGGTAGACTCCTGGCCAATCTAGGAGGGTTGGCAACCCGTACTCCTGAGGCTGAAGGAGAATGAGGACAGCAGCAGACCAGTGATGAAGGCAGAGCTGGGATGAGAAGCTGTTGCTCAGCCTCTCATCCTCCCCTCACTCCCACCTCCTCCCCTCCCCCATCAGCACTGCGAGCAGGCACCACTGCTGCCACAAACCAGGCAGCAGCTCTCACTCCACAGCCCAGCTCCAAGCATCTGATACCCAACCATGCAGAGTCTCAGGGGCTGGAGGGTGGAGGCAGGGCATGCATGCATATGTGGGTGTACATGCATATGTGGGTATGCATGCATGTGTGGGAGGGGGTGCACATGCATGCATGTGCTTGTGTGGGTATGCGTGTGTGGGTGTATCTGTGCACCTGTGCATGTGTCTGGAAGGGGGCTGGCACCTGGGGGTGACATCAAGGTACAGCTGCACTGCTTAGGCACTGCTGGAGACCTCCCCTCTCTTTCCCCCTCCCTGCCCAGGTCCCATAAGCAGGCAAGGCAAAAAAGGGAACTGGGCAATGCAACCACGAAGGGCAGGTGGGGGGAGAGAGGAGCACTCTCACCGCCCCTTAGCAGTTGCATGACCGTACAGCCCTGGGGCTTCCCATCAGAGAAGCAGCTCTGGGTAGGGTCTGGGGAACCCTGGTGGTTTTCCCTGCTGCAGCCCTTTCCCTGCTCCTGTAACCCCAGGGGGTCTCAGTGCTGGAATTCCCCCAGCCAAGGGTGGGAGCAGTGAAAGAAAGGGTGGGAGCAGTGGCACAGAAAGGGAAAGTAGGGTTGGGAGAAGCACGGTAGGGGAGTTGCGGGGGAACAGGTGCCATTCCAGCCTCAGATCCCCCCAGGCAGCACCCAGGCAGTGTGCCAGGCTTTCAGCCCTGGCTGCTCTGGGGCTCTGCAGTCTGTGGGTATTTGATGAGTTCCCCCCACAACACATGCCAAGTTCCATGCTTCTCTGACTCATCCAGGACTGCAGAGACCCTTTTCAAACCATGCTGGAAGGGAGCAGGTCCCTAACCAGACAAGATGGCATGAAGCAGGGACCAACACTCTCCTCCCTCCTGGGCTGCACAGAGCAGAACCAACCCCCTTCTCAGCCCACAGCCTACACCATCTGCAAGTCTTGCTGGGCACCCACTGGCTTTCTGGGGAAGCAGAAGCACCACAGGGCCTGGATACCCCCAGCATGGAGCCAGCTCCTTTGGCTACTGTGAGGGTCGTGCTCCCAGGAGCCAGGATGCACCCTCCCCTCTCCTCTCCACCCCAGTCCCGTCTCGTTCGATCACTGCTGTCTCAGTTGGCTGGCAGGAGCAGGGTGAGTGGACAGCTTTTTCAGGCTTGGCTTGTGCTCTCAGGTGGTGCCAGAGAGCACTAACCAAGCTTGCAAAGCCTATGGAATACTGGCGGAATTGCCAGAAATTTGACCAGCATACAGAAGTTTTTTAAAGCACTGTAGGTTGCTAGAGAGCTGTAAAATGCAGCACTTCAAAATTAATACCTCATTTATCAAGGGTTAATTTAAAGCACTGTGCTCATTTTTTAAAGTCTGTAAAGCTGTGCACACCTGGTAAGTCATGGCAGTAAAGCACTTTAAATGGCAAAAAAGCAGCTTCTGTCCACACCTTCTATCTCTCGAGTCCTAGCCCCAACAATCTGGATTCAATTCTTAGCTCTTCTACAGCTTGCTGTATGACATGAGGTAAGTTATTTAGGCTGATATTTATAAAAGCATTTTGAAGTCAATGGGAGCTTTACTATAGATGTCTAGTAGTGGAGTTAAAGCAACATTAAGTACTTCTGAAAAATCCAACCCCAAATCTCAGTTCCCCGTTTGCAAAACAGGGAACACAATACTTCCATTTTCCTATCTTCTGCTTGTGGGATCTTTTTTGCACAAATACTGCTTGGTGTCTGTAATATACTGTATACAGCTAAATGGAGCCCAAACTTGATATGCATGTACTATTTAATACAAATAAATACATAAATAAATAAAATAATATTTATGAAGCTTTTAGGCAAGGCTGGGTCCTTGATCAATAGTGAGAGTGAGTAATTGAATTATTCTCTCCAGAGATGTGGGGCTATTAGCAGAGAATTTCTGTACCTGCCATGGAATCACTCCTCTAATTTTGACCTCTCCCAGCACAGAGCTCATGTAGTCAGGGTGAGTGTGCAGTCCAAGTTTTGTTTTTATGAACAAACAATACCCTACATCTTCATAGCATGCCTTTAGTCCCCAATATATATCCATCACAAGTTCATGCATGACTTGTGAGTTAAAAATGTCTCCAACCAGTTATTTAACTGCAGTGGAGATCACTGACTGAACAATTCACTCTGCCTAGCAAAGTAAGCCTTTTGGAAGATATGTCTAAGCATTGACCAAGCATCCATACAAAGGACTACAGAGGATTAGCTTCTTAGCTGTTAATGTGGGCTACTAAAGCAAATTGTTTTGCTGACTTTGAAACATGAGACTTTACAAACTTAATATTCTCTTGACTATTAAAGTATGTTTAACTTGTGGTCTGTGAATAGGAATATGAAACAAGAGCAAATGTATACTAGTTGACAGTAGTCTAAGTGCCTTGTTGTACGTTACAGTCAGCCGCACAAATGTGGATCAGTATTAGTGCTGCCTTGGAGTTCGAAGCAGTTACCCCCATAGTCTAGAAACCTTCTCTGACTGTCCCCCATCTGCACAGCTGTGACTTGCCACTATAGGCCTGGTGAGCAGGGACAGGACTAGGAGCTCCAGCTGTGAGTTGCCACTAGAGGGCTGGTGAGCCAGGACAGGCTTCCATCCCTGCTTTAAGAGTGGGGGTGTGAGAGATCCTGGGATACTGGAGGGGTTCAACATGGGCGGCACATCAGTGAGGAGTGGCCATACCTTAAGGGAATAGGAGCTGGGAAGTGCAGATCAGAGATAATCCTGCCTTGGAGTGGCATAACTTTGAGCTACAAAACAAATACTTAAAACCACTGTAAAATGTTAATGTACAGGTAGTCCAGAGCTCCAGGAGCCACCCAAAATTACCATGTAACAAGGCCTTAACCTCCACCTCAATACAGTTATTTAGATTGGTATCTTGGCCGTTTATTCACATTCACAAAATATTTTTTGGCTCAAATCCTTCAACTAAAACTAGTAATTTCTGACCATTTTATCCCCACTAAGATACTTTATACATAATGTTTCCATCTCGGGGAAGAAATTAACATATTTTAAATTGCTTGCCCAATGGTTGTTTAATAATCTATGATGAAACTCCATAATTCATCTCCTCTACAACTATGAAATCAGCATCTACAGTAAAGTACACCCAAACTTTGAGAACCCAGATAAAAACAGTCACTTAAACTGTTGATTCTGTTAAGAAAGACTTTGGTAAAGCTGCAGGGGGATGCGGGAGAAGGTGTTACAAAGTCAGATTTTGAAAGAATAGAACAGGTACATGTGCAAGGGACTGGGAGAATTGGGGAGGTGTGAGAGAGCTAAAAGGAGAGATAGAAAGCACTGAGGTGGAATAGGGCAATGAGAAACAGAAGAGAGAAGCAGAAGGCCACGGAAGGTATAGGGAACTAAGATTTTAACTTTACAACCCGCTACCATAGAGGAGTCTCACATCAGGCAGAAAATATGGCAAATGCATAGTGTGCCATTGTTTAAAGTTGTTTGAGTGAAAATAATAAAACTGCAGCATGTAGCTTTTTGTCCATGCCTGAATCCCAATCCATCCACACACAAACAAAAATGGACACTTTTGTCCGATCAAGCCTATGTTCCATTTTAATGTACTATACATAATGTACAACCTGTTCACAACTCCTATTCAAGCACATTTTGTTGTGCAGGCTAGAGGCAGGTGAAGACACAAAAAGTATCAATTAATAGTTACTCTAATAAATATTAGATTTACTTTGTCTGTGCTTACTCATTTACACTTGCCAACTTTACTAGAAGAAATATTAGCTGGAATGGCAAACTTGAAATAACTGTATAAAGATTAGAAAATATTCATGGTAAGTGAAAATTGATTATATGCCTATGATGACTTGCACTAGAACCTGATTCCAAGAACCTTACTTGTTGATCAGGAAGATCAGAATGCAAAAAGACCCTGCAAAAAAGAGGGACCTTGAAGTATTTGTCAAGATGTTTTCGTAAATAGTAGAGCTGAGAAGATTACAAGCTGCCTGTAGACATTTCAGAAACAAGTAAATCTAAATTTGTCGAATATATTCTTTGCTAAAATGATTTTGCCTGGCTTTAATTAAAAACTATCTGGAATCTCTGGAGCATTTGTGATTTATTTTATGGACTTAATATAATTACTTAAAATATGTCTTCCAGTTGAAAATCTACACTGTAATATGGAAAGTTTTAAAACTTTCATTTTTGGATCTGATCTTAATAGAGGCTGATTTTGCCATATGTATCATGGAGCATAAAATGCATCTAGAATTGAGTGTAAGCTACAAATTTCTGATCTGTATCCATATACATTACACACACACAGAAATGTTCAGATGCATTACCACATTTTATCCTTTCTATCTGGAATGTGTGGGGAAAGACTGACTTTCACACACACAAGAATACATTATTGTTTCCGATTTTTTTGTGTTAAAACAACTGTTTTTAAAGTCCTAGCAATAAATATGATAAGTGTTACAATATGAATATGTTTAAAGAAGAAAGTGTTTTAAAAGTATATTCAATATAAACATTAATAAACAACTATGGAAAAAAAGCAGAAAAAAACCTTTTTTTTAGTGTTGGAAAATAAAACAGCTGTCATAAGTGCTGAAAGTCTGGATTTTGCAGCTAATGCACCTATTCTGAGTACCCTTGACAAATTTGTAAGTAAACTGCAAATACTTTCAGATACCACTACATTCCAAAGGAAATTGCATTAATAGGAAATTAAATCCAACTTTAAAAATAGAATGCACCCCAAATCAATAAAAGTCAGAGAACTATAATAGGAGATGCCTTACACAAATCATGAATTACCGTTCGCCATTAGAATCTGAGATTCTAGTTTACAGCTACTTTCATGTTACCTGTTCAACATAAGTGCATCTCTGCTGTTCTACATGAGGGTTTCTGAAATAATAAACTGGAACATACTTAAATGATTAAAAGTCATATTTTAGAACAGACCTTTTATCACTTACCTTGTTTGGTATTACTGCAATAGTATACAATGCAATTATAAAAATGCATAAAACTGAGTGGATCTTCTTCCAGTTATTCGTCAGTTCTCTGTCAACAAATGACAAACTGACCCTTTTTCCTTTCAGGGAAGAATGAATATAAAGGCTAATCACTGCTACAGGAAGAACATTATCTGTTACATTCCTGTTCAGGATATCATCCTGACTCCTTGTTTTTTGACCTACAAAAACAGGAATTAAAGTCTCTTATGAAAGAGAGTTGTAAACCAGCATGTGACACATTAAATTACTTTATAACTTTGAATTGTATAAGTTTCAAGAACAATTTGCCAAAATATTCACATGCTTCTGTCTAACATCAGTATTTAGGCACCTTGACAGAGGTCTGGATTTTCAGAAATGCTAACTACTCACAACTTGAAATGCCTTTCAATTAAAGGTAAGGCACTGAGCATCTCTGAAAATTATGCCACACATTGCAATGCCTCAAAATGATTTTTTAGGTGGATAACATTAGGTATCCAGTTTTGAATATTTAGATCATTGAATTTATACTTTGATTTTTAATGTGAATGTATTATTTATATTTAGCTTACAGTAGCTGATTAGAAAAAAACAAGCTGAGATGTCAACAAGCCCACATTTTTATATGTATACAACATGGATAGCCATCTGCTTCCCTGAATTCATTTCTGTTAGCAATGTCAAAAAAGAGATGTTAGTGATTAAACTTTCCACTGAAGTGATAAGCACAACTTATTTGCCACAAATCTATGGACTTAACTTTTGGAGGAGCCTAAAATGAAGGTTCAGATCTGACTAGAGCTTCCTGAAAGATTTTTACTGTGTTTTTATCTTTTGCAGCCAGACCTACAAACACTGAAACTGAACAGGAAATCTAAAATGCTTATGATGCAAACTTGCTCACAGCTCTCTGAAGAACTTTGCTGAGATAATCCATAGAAGGCAAGGTAGATATGCCCCTTATGGACAAAGCAAATAGAGCATAAGTTTTTGCGAACTTGAGCTCACTTCATCAGATCCTGTGAAAGGACAAGCATAGAGGAGTGTATAAGGTGGAATGAGTGATTTGAATACAAAAGGTAGGAAGGGAGGAGGGAGAGGAAAGGGAGAGGGGAAGAAGGGAGAGAGACTGTACTGGGAGAATCAAAAGCACAAATAACTCATAGGAACAACGGCGTCACAAAAGCTAATCCAGATAACAGGATAAGAATCTGTATTCCCTTTTTAAACCACACAGTCCATTCTGTGGATGATTTCTTGTTCTGTAGTTTCCTGTTCAAACTTGTTTTGAAAATTTTGCTGCCTGAAAGCAGCAATCCTGAGATCAGCAATGGAATGTCCAGGGAAGCTAAAATGTTCTGCTACAGGCCTTTTTCTTAATGCAGCCAATATCAGATTGGTGTTCATTCATTTTTACTCATAAAGGTTGCCTTGTCTGTCCAGTGTAGACAGCAAAGGGGCACTGTAAACAGGTATATGACCAATATATGACATTGGTAAATTGCAGGTAAATGGACGTTGGATGTTGGATGTTGCTCTCCTTGTTATTCAGTCCAGTCATGATGATGTTTCCACTACAATACAGCTAGTTTCCAATACAGTGTGGAGGCACAGCAAGTATTTGGACTCATTGCAATGCCTTAATGAAGATGGATATTAGTCTGTTGCTTGAGAGATGCCATTTGAGATTGGGGGGCTTCCTGTAAACCTCTTTGGCTATCTTGAGATGGTCTTCGGTTTTCAAGAGGAGTTGTAGGCCATCCATGTTGTGTCTAATGTGTTCAAGCTGGAGTCTGTAGGTGACAACCACAGAGATTCTGTTGTTTTTATCCCAGAGCTGGCATTGTAGTAGGTCAGAGTGAGGACCTAAGTCTGGCTTCATTGATTTGAGTGACTACAGTTTTGAGATTGTATTGTAATTATAAGAGCTCCTGCTCCAGATATGAAGGTATTCACCCCAGTCAGTGGGATCAGAACAGATATTACTGAGTAGAACTTGGCTGTAGACAATGGATATCACTAGTGTGCTCAAGGTGAAAGCTGGTGGCATGAAGGTAGCTGTGGCAATCAGCTAGTTTCCAATTCAGTGTGGTGGCAATATGGGCATTGCAAACTTTCACTGTAGTGTCTAGGAAATGAATCTGCTGGATGGAGTATTCCAGAGTTAGTTTGCTGGAGGGCTGGAAGTTGTTAAAGTCTTGGTGAAGTTCCTTCCCATGTGCCTATATTATGAAGATGTCATTGATGTACCTGAGGTTTATCAGGGGGATGAGAGAGCAGCTGCGGAGAAAATGGACTTCAAGGTCTGCCGTAGAAATGTTGTCATATCACGAGGGTGGGAGGGGTGGGTTACGTGTACTTATGGCAGTGCCTTTTATTTGTAGACATAGGAAGTCCCCAAATCTAAAATAGTTGTGTGAGAGGAAAAAGCAGGACAGTGTAATGGAAACAAGCAGTTTTCTCATCAGGGATGATGTTCTTTATGGCTTTTACTCTGTCCTCATGGGGGATGTTGCTGTACAGAGATATGACACCCATGGTAGTTAATATGGTGTTTGCTGGAAGCTTGTCAATGAACCCTAGTTTCTTTAAGAAATCTGCCAGGTCTTTCAAATAGCTGGCAGCTCCAGTGGCATATGGAAATAAGATAGAGTTAATATAGCCGGAAACTCCTTCCATGACAGTGCCAGTGTCAGAGAGAGTGGGCTGTTCTGGGTTGTCAGATTTGTGGATCTTGGCTAACAAGTAAAAGTTGCCTGGCCTAGGTTCCTGGGAAGTGGAAGGAGCAATTCTGTCAGTGTTCCCAGAAGTAGATCCTTTAAGAGTTTATCTAGTTCCTCCTGGTATTGTGCCATGGGGCCCTCTGTGAGTAGAGATACACACCTATTCTTGAAAGACTCCATACAAAGGAACAATACAACTGAGACAGCTTTAGCATTTAATAACATGTAATATTAACTCTTTCTGAAATGTTAACATCCTAACAGGATGAACAATATCTAAAAGAAAATGCAAGACAGAGAAAAAAATACCAAATAAAATACATATTATATAATGAATGCACAAATCGCACTGTTTACAAAGAGACTTTTTCATGCTTTATAACATGCACATAAGGCTGAAATCCAGTAGGGTGAGGAGTTGTGCATGAGATGGGGCGGTCTGCCGCTTGATAGAAAAATAAGCTCTATCTCCACCAGATGAACCATGAGTCAGATGCTTCTTTTCATTACATTCTTTGATTCCACTCCCTCCCCCATGCCTTCTATTGTTTTACTGCTGCAGAAGTATACTAGTGAGCAAGCCAGATGTACGGTTTGGACTGAGACCAATGTTTTACAGTAAAATCCTACCTCAATTCTCTGTGGGCCAAGCAACTTACAGCAGAAAAAGGCTGCAGTCAGTAACAAACTAAATTTTGTTGTTAATGCAACTAAAGCTCAAAACAGAACTCATCCCCTAGGCACCAATTTCTCAGCTAAGACTTCAGGCTGTGTGCAGATAATATTATAACAACAAATATCTATCAACGCAAATTTACTCTATTTTTTAATCATGATTGGCTCAGTCTTCATGGAAATGAAAGATGTGGCAGCAATTCGAAATAGGGGGAAATAGTATAAGCAGGGTCTAAAAAAATTAAAACAAACCCATTAGAAAATCTTTAGCAATGTCCAAACAATGCCAGGCACAAAAGGTACAGGCCTTATGCAACACTTAGGCTCCAAGGGCTTAGATTTACAAGCACTTATGGCTTAGGCTGCATACACACATTCAAATAATCTGGGAAAATTCTCCCAGGTTTGTTTTGGTAGAAATAAACTTATCTGAAGATGCCTGAACAGACATTCAAATACTGAGCCCCTGAAGAACAGAGCTTTCAGTGCTGATGCTGCACAGCAAGAGGGCCCCAGTGAACACATCTCAGCTTTGTAGGTTCCCTCAGTCTGCCTGGGGATAGAATGGCAGCAGTGCACAACACAACCGTGACTGGCTGATCCAGATTTTTTTTGGCATCTCCCTGCAGCACAACATGGGGGGATTGTGAAGGGGGCATGTTTTGCTTCCTGCTCAGCTGAAGCAGCAGAATCCAGCAAGTGACACACTATCTCTCTGGGGTGAAGGGGGTGGAAGCAAAGCACCCTGAGATGCTGGAGAACTGTGGTGCACCTTCTCTCAGAAGACAACATGTACAGACATTGACTCTCCCAAGAGAAACTCTCTTGGGAATAATTCCACCCTGGTTGTCCCTGGGATATCTTTTTTTATCTGGAGCAGCCATTTTTACTCTGCGTGAAAAATCCTGAACTTTTGTAGATTAGCGGTTTCTCCTGGGAGAGCAGCAACTCTCCCAAGAGTAACTGAATGTCTGTACATGGCTTTAGTATTATGCCTAATAACATGGGAAACATTTATATTGATTGCAGGCTTGAGGAGGCACATAGGATGGAAGTCACTCCAATGCAGAACTGGCAAAATGCTTAGGTGCCCCTTAAGTCTTCAAAATTGACTTTAAGTGAAAGTTAGGTAATGATTAACCCTTGTACTAACTTTCTTTTCCAGGATGAATTTCACCTACAGCATGGAAATAAACTATTGCCTTGTCAGCAGATCATATACCCATTCTGATTTCACACCTCTGCCTGGAAGAAGAGTACAAGGATCAGATTACATGGATCCCTAAGGCCAGAGATCTATTTTAGGTCAAACCACCTCTTTTAGGTCTTTTTTAGTGCAGAAAAGAGTGTTTTATCCTTTTATGGCTGATACATAACTGCTGATTTTGAACTATGCAATTTGCCAGGAAATTTATCATCTTATTTTTGGATAATTTCATTTTGCCAGTGTCAGTGTTTTTCAATCAATATTAGCATCCTGTTTTGACATTAATGGTTTGTGCTCTCACTGGTTTCAGAGACCCAAGAAAGTCAGCAAACAAAGGATGTAAATTATTTAGCAGTTTGACCTTTGTGGTCTGCAAGAGAACATGTATGTGAAACAAAACACGTTCTTTGTGGAAAAAAACCCAGAAGTCTTGTGTGTTTTTTTTTAATACTAACCTCAGAAATAACACTTCTGTTTAAATTTTTTAAACCTCTTTTGTTACTGGTATTACCAAATATGACTGTACCTCAGAGAGACTAGAGGAAAAATCTCTTTTTCTAAGTCATAAAATACACAAAATAAACAACAGTTTCTGTAGTATTGATGTTATGGTTTGTCTAGTCTTCCACAACTAAACAGGGGAACAAAAACACATTTACAATTATTTTCCTATTTTTTCAGAGCAAAAAATATAAAAAGGGAAATTCCAGTCAGCTACAATATCAGAAACTTGAGAAGACTTTATTTCAAGTTAGTTGTGTCCTTGCAAATGAGATGCTAGATGCAAAAGTGTTATTTACTCATTCATAACTTCCATTTATAGTTGAAACTCCTTTCTATATTAGACTATTAAAATACAAATGTTACCCATCAAACAACAACATCTACCTTGTACAATTGCTAAATTCTAGTGACATCGCACTGTAGAGGCCCCCTATGTACTGTAAAGTTATGTAATTGCTCAGATGGTTGCATAATTGATCATTTTGAGGCTGATGCATAATCAGATTTCAAAATATAAGCTTCTGTTAGAAAACATCTCTACTTTATATAGACATGTACACACATAGCAATTAGAAGCCATTCATTAGGCCAGGGTGCTCTTGGACTAGCTGTTAAACAAATATATTTTCAGAATCAATATCTATCTTGGAATCCAACTTACCTGGAGACTATCAGAACCATTTAGGTGAAAGATGACCATATGTCCTTAAAAGGGTGGAGGCAGTCCCATCCTGTTTCTTCAAATGCATTCAAAGAAGAACAAAAAGATGAAGCCATCTACCTTCCTCATTATTCTGCTACAGCCTCTCCTCTG